TTTTAGGACTCAATTGCATTATGATGATAAGTTTTAGGACTTTCAATGCAATTATCCCTTACAAAAATAGACCCGGGACTGCTAGTCTCGCAAGGCTTGAACCATGAATACAAAAATGAGCTATTACATGTTGGTATTTTCCTTTCTCACTAGATAAATATCCAATTCACTAAAAGAGCAAACACAACCCAAAACTATCTATTTTGCTTTAGTTTTCTTTTTTCTTTCTATTTCCCTGCTCTCATCGTCTTTCTTCTGCACCAACGAAGAACACCCCAAAACTTATCTAAGACTCTACACACCAAAATGCCGATCAAATACATCATAACTCAGGCATCCTCTAAAAGAAATACCTCGTAGCTAAGGACTATGGTGATTGGGGTGGACCCTCAAGCTAGCGCATAACATAATTTTGACTCGGAGAAAACTAGCGAAATACAAAGAGTACAAGGGGGTTTCGGTGAGGATCATGTCAACACAGACCTTAAAGATAAAAGCAACATACAGCAGAAAAAGCAAAACGAGTCGCAAGAACGAACAACAAGCGCATAAAGACGAACAAAAAATGCGGAACATGAAAATAGCGAGAGCAAAGGACTCACAGAGGCGAAACCCCAAATGGGCGACTCGCACCTTCGCCGTCATCGAAGGCAACGTGTCCGTGAGGGACAGGGGACGGAGACTTGCGTTGCCTCTTAGGAAGATGAAGAGGCTGGGTTTAGGATGAGAGAGAAAGGCTAGATTTACGAGCGAGGGAGAGAGAGGAAGGCAAACGAGAGAGAGAGAGGGGAGAAGTGTCCGATCTTCTCTTTGTGTTTTTTTTTCTCTGCTTGTCCGAACCCGAAGAAGAGAAGATGGCAGGGAACCACTTGTAAATAGCCGCCTTTCTTCTTCTTCAGCTTTGCACATAGGTCCCCTACCCACAAAAATCCTTTTTTTTTCTCTATTGTTGCTAGTGGGGACTTTGAATTTTGTTAGAATTTGACCCACGCCACGCCACGCCATGCCAAGCCATGCAAGGTGGATTTACGCGCATCTTGGTTATTAACTTGGAATCACATAGAAAATATTACTTAAATAATTCAACTGTCGCCGGGGGTCTTGAGACATGCTCTTATGCTCGTGCGAGATGATGCCGAGTTCTTTTAACTTATCGACTCGCGTTCCTTGTGATCTACGAGCAGTTCTTGCACCATTTTCTCATAGTCGATGCTATGGAATTGAGCATCTTGGCCCTAGTTTGCGCGTCCGATTCTGCCGTTGCCATGCACAATTCCCCATCTTGGCAAATTAAATGGAGAAACTGGTGAGCAAGAGAGTAATTAAATGGTGTCTACTACTGCTACTAGACTGGATCCGCGCGGCATCATGTTATCGTCAAGGCTCACCCCCACGCGCCGCTGCGTTCACTCAGTGTCGTACACTGTTCTTGGCTCAACTCCAAGTTTTTTGAAATGGAAGAAGGGGCGGCACACATGGTAGGGAGGACGCCTCAAGGGAAGGGACAAGGGGATAAGGATGGGAGGTGTCGTGTCGAAACAAAAGCGGAAGAAGGAGAAGGACGGAGGGAGGGAGCGGGTGAGGCCAGACCATCCATACAGATTCCGGATGCGGAGATCCTTATCCCAAAAAACTTATTCCCTATTTGTTATTTACTTTGGAGCTTATCCCATTTGGTGATTGTTCTTTAATCCATATATCCTTTTGTATCAAATATCCCAACTTAAATAGGTTAGGGTCCCATAATCTACCATCAGCTCTAATACTTATTTGTTGGGAGCAAAGCAGAAGCTCGATACCAGGAAATCACCAAGAGAGAGCCCAAGTCCAAACATGCTTACACATCAAATTGGACCCACCTTCACTTAAAAGCTGAAACCAATAAGTTATAGAACAATTAAGATATATTAATTATTTTACACCACACCAATTCTCTAATGTGGGATTTCTCTAACATATCTTATTCGTGCATTCGAACAATCTCTCAATCACACATGAGCTCAATGTTAGATTTGCTCACACCTTATCCAAATATTTTTCCACATCAAGATTTCTCAACTTGAATAGAATGGGAGCCCATCAATCTAGGCCTAATACCAATTCGTTGAGAGCAAAACAAAAGCTCAATACCTTGCGCCTGAAAAAATCAAGAGAGAGCTTAAGTCCGAAAATGTTAACATATCAAGTTGAACCAACCTTCACTCAAAAACTTAAGTCAATAAGTAATGAGCCGACTAAAATATATTAACTGCTCTTACACCACATCAATTCTTCGATAATGAATTTCTCTAACATAACTTATATGTGCATTCTAACAATCTCCCCCTCTGATGTAAGCTCAGTGTTAATTCCGATCTCCCTTAATCCAAATATCTTTCTACATCAAGATATCTCAATTTGAATAGATTGGGGACCCATCAATCCACCATCGCCTCTAACACCAATTCATTAAGAACAAAACGAAAGCCCAATACATTTCACCTAGAAAGATTACCAAGAGAAAGCCTAAGACCGAACCTGTTAACATATTCAATTGAGCTCACATTCACTCAAAAGTTTAAGCCGATAAATTATAAACCAACTATAATATATTAACTACTTGAAATGGTTTCAATTCTCTACCTGATATTTCTCCACCACAACTCACTCATGCATGCTAACATTTCATTCGTACAAAACAGCAAACGTTCAACGGGCGAAAACATCAACAACTTCATAGCAAATATATGGCTTTAATTAGTACGGCTATCGTGACCTCTCCGAACCGATCCGTTAGGCCAAGAGGTATTTGTCAAGGACCGAGGCACTCCAAAGCCTCATACCTCACGCGATAAGAATTGTCTAATTTACACATTCGATTGGAGTCGCCACTAGCCATGATCAAGGGTCGGCTAGAAACCTTAATCGAGACGCGGGAGTGTCGTCTCGATACGTGCGAAAACCAGAGATTCCAAAATTCGGGGACTCGATTACACTAGCGATCTACTAGTACCCTTTCGGTACCTAAACTTGATCACTCGCAAACTAACGTACCGGGCAGCCTATCGGAAAAGTTAAGATTCCACATAACCGTTCTAAAAATAGAAAATAACAATCAATATATTAAAAGTGTGCAACTAGATAATCATAAAGAAAATAAACAACCAGCAACCTAGCATCGTCTCTAGAAAGAAAAAGGCAATCAAAAGCCCTAAAGAAAAGCCCTAATGGCTTATTCGATTTTTGGAAATTTTTTAAAGGGTTTTTCTCAATTTTTACAAATTTTAAACTAAGTAGAATGAAATTAACACTAATATCTAGTGAAATTAAGCCCAAAAATTGATTTCTAAACATTTCCTAATTTCCTGAATTTTTTTTGGAATTTTTCTGAGTGTTTAATTTTTTAATATTTTTTAATATTTTTGAGTTTTTTTAAACATTTTCGAATTTGTTTGGAATTTTTAATATTTTAATTTTTTTTTGAATTTTTGAATTTTTAAATATTTTTTAATGTTTTAATATTTTTTATAATATAATAATTCCGGACCAGGTCCCCTGACCTGATCCGCCCGACACATGACCCGGGACCTCCTTTTCTATTTTCTTTTCTGATTTCTTTTTTATTCCTCTTTTTCTTTTTCTTTTTTTTTTGTTTCTCTTTCTTTTCTAATTTTCCTTTTTACTTTCTTTTCTGGTCTTCCTCCCTTCTGCCATGCACGAGGTCTTCTTCACCGAGAGCTTCCTCAGCTGTTTCTTCATGGCGCCTTCACCGAGCCTCGCCGGGACCACGCCGAGGAAGCCCACCGCCGGTCGACAGCTCGGACCGCCAGCGCCGACGACCGGCGCTGGTCGTACGCTGTCACCGCCGGCCGCCGTTCCGGCGACGATACCGACGACTTACTCCGGTCACGGAACCGACATTAACGTGTAAAAATCCGATTTCTCGGCTCTCAAATTCTCGACCACCCCATGTAGACAGTAACACTGAACATACAAGGATATACACACATCAAATGAAGATAGAGAGCTAACTGTTTCGCTCCAAATCGCGAGCATACCTGGCAACCGAGAATGAAACTTCCGACGAGGAAACGTATACACGCAGCTGGTTCACGGCCGACCGGAGCGAGGTGCGACAGCTGGGGGGTTCGGCGTCGGTTCGGGCGGCCCTCCGGCGAGCGGGCGAGACTCGGACCTCTCCGATTCCCCTCAACTCTCTCCCGATCTCCTCTTTCTCTCTGTTTTTTTCTCTCACGGTTTCACCTCCGTTCTCTCTTTTTTTTTTTGAACTGTCCTCCCCCTTTCTCAGTCTCTTCTCCCTCCTTTTTAACTCTCCTCTCGAACGTTGAAGCCACCACCATTTTTAAAACCCTTTCTTCTCCTCGCTCTGCATGTGCAGACTGTAAATTTTCCTCTTTCGTGTGTACATGGATGGAAACCAGAGAGAGCAATAAAGGCCTTCATCTCAGTCCCGGTCAGTCCCGGGAAGAAGTGTTTTTCTTTGGTCTTTTCTTTGACTTTTCCTCTCTCGTGTTCTCCCCTTTCTCTCGTCTCTGGACCTCTTGCTCCTCCTTATGTGTGCAGACCCCATTTCATGCTTTAGTGATATGTACTGCGGCAGCCAAAGAGAGAGAGAGTATGACAGCCCATTTTTTTTTGTGTTGCTTTTGACCTTAGACGTCCTACTCTTTTGTCCTTTCTTATTTTGCTTCTTTTGTGAAAATGGGGATGAAGATTGACAGAGAACATCCTTTCGTATCAGCCCAGCTAAGAACTCCCCTTTTGTCTTGTCTCCTTTTTTTTTCTTTTTTGAAATTTTTATAGTGATTTTTTTTACATAAAATAAAAAATGAAATAAAATAAAAGGAAAATATGTTTCACTAAATTCTACTAATGCAAATGCGCCTAATATCTATATGCCATGAAAATATTTTTGTTTAGGGGTTAAAAAATTAAACCCTGATTTTTATGCAATTAAACCCTAAATGAATAGGCAAAATTTAGGTGTCAACAATGGCAAATCAATTAAATCTTAAGCCAAAATATATTCTATCTGAGCAAATCAACGGACATTTCATAAGCATAGTCAATAAGATCTAAGATTGGGTCGATGACATGATATTAGCATGCCATGGGCCGTGTTTGGTTGCACATGAATAGATCTCTCTTTTACGAAGTATATATGGATACAAGCTTTGCACTTTTTATTATGAATCTGCTGACTCTACCTAATGTAGAAAGGAGTATCCTAGTTGGTATATAAAAACTAATCAACTTGCCAGTCCTAGACATATGGATTGCCGAAACAAGTTCATCATCAATAGAGAAAGAAAAAGTTCAAGAAGAGAGGAGAGAAAGTTGCCATGAAGAAAAAGGCAAGAAAGGTGTACTGTTCAGTGACACCATTCACATTAAATTACCTCTCATGAAGCCACTACACTCCATGCCACAACCTGTAAACACCATTAAATGTTCCGCCTTTTTTTGTTACTTCATCGAACCCCACCAACCAAATTTCACAAACAGGCAGAGCACTACAAAAAAATAAGGTTTTAGCCACGAATTTTGCCACAAAAAATTTAGCAAAATTCGTCGCTAAATGAATTTGCGACGAAACGAAAAAAATTTCGTCGCTAATACGTCATCGCAAAATTTAGCGGCGAAAAATTTCAATTTTCGTCACTAAATTGCGACAGAAAAAAATTCGTGGCAAAATTCGTCGCTAATTTGCAACGAATTTTATTCGTCACAAAAATTCGTCGCTAATTATCCGTTGCAAAATTCGTGGCTAATTTGCCACGAACTTTATTCGTCACAAAAATTCGTCGCTAATTTGCCCCGAAAAAACAAAAATAAATATTCTATTTTTTTATAAAAAAAATTCGTGGCTAATTTGCCACGAATTGTATTCGTCGCAAAATTCGTCGCTAATTTGCAGCGAAAAAACAAAAAAAAAATATTCTATTTTAAAAAAAAAAATTCGTCGCAAAATTCGTCGCTAATTTGCCGCGAAAAAACACAAAAAAAATTCTATTTTTTTATAAAAAAAATTCGTGGCTAATTTACCACGAATTGTATTCGTCGCTAATTTGCCGCGAAAAAATAAAAAAAAATTCTTGGCAAAATTCGTGGCTAATTTGCCACGAATTGTATTCGTCGCAAAATTCGTCGCTAATTTGCCGCGAAAAAACAAAAAAAAAATTCTATTTTTTTATTAAAAAAATTCGTGGCTAATTTGTCACGAATTGTATTCGTCGCAAAATTCATCGCCAATTTGCCCCGAAAAAACAAAAAAAAATTAAAAAAATTCGTGGCAAAATTCGTGGCTAATTTGCCACGAAATGTATTCGTCGCAAAATTCGTCGTTAATTTGCCCGAAAAAACAAACTATTTTTTTTATTAAAAAAAAATTCGTGGCAAAATTCGTGGCTAAGTTGCCACGAATTGTATTCGTCGCTAATTTGCCACAAATTGTAACTAACCACAACTGTGTAACCCAGAGCCAGCAATCCACCTAGTGTCATCCGTCCAACCTGTTTCAATATAAGATCAAAGAGAGACAGACCTGAATAGCCACCCAATTCATCAGAATTTTAGTAGGAACACAACTCAAGGATAAAAAAATCAGCCAAAGTCAATAATTTTATTGAATTGCCAAATTGCAAAAGGCAAGTCTGCTCAGACAAAGTTAGTCAAAGCCATGAAATGACACTATCAGTTGAGATCAGACAATTATCTAACATGCAGCATTGAGTAAACATAATTATTTGCAGCCATACAAATTGACAACTTAAAAAATGAAGCAACTATGACTATTAATCGGAGTACCACCAAAAGTTCCCATCTTCATAATTCCTTGATACGGTTGTTTGGGAATATTCTATGGACACGTTACTCTCATGGCTACTATCAAATATATGTGTGTAAGTTGATTCTTACACATGTCAATTCTCAAATTGCAGAAGAAAACTGTCTCAAATGCTATATCTAGCTGCATGTCAAGGTTCATAGGAGTGAAATAGAAACCTTACAAAACTGATAAAGAGGACAAGACATCAGCATAGTAAATCATCAAGTCAACTCAAAGGACGACTATTTAGTGTAATGAAATATGAGATGTTTCTTACCTCAAACTCTGCTTTGGGTCGGATAATGAAATGCTTGTCCACAATCCTCTGGTCACCCAGGGAAAGATAGTACCTAATACCAGATTGACGCACCTTAATCCAATCGTTTATTTGTGCTTCTTCACTGGCTAATGGAGGTCTCAGGTACATCTCAATAAAGCTAAAAGCAAAAGAGGATGTCACCCCCCACAACCAAGTTCACTCGTTACCAAAGAGTAGCAGCTTGCAGATATACTTACTTATCTGTTTGAGCTTCATTTCCCTGGAGAACCTGGGCAGGAAAGGAATCTGGAGACTGTAACGTTATGTTGCACTATTAATTCAAAGTTCCCACCACAAAACACAAAGGAAAAATTTATTCAAACAGGGGATGGCGTTCATAATAGCATGTTTTGTTTATAACTTCTTGAAAAACTACCACGGATCATGACTTTCAGTACGACATACTCTTAACACAGCATTTTAAGTAATCATGATGTAAATACACATCACAAGTGAAGAAGGCACTATTGACGAAAAAGTTTGTTGATTATACACCATGAAACAAATTTTAAAGAATCCCAAGAACAACTAAAGTATCGAACAATAAAATGTGTCAAGAATAACAAGGAAGTAGATTACTGCCTCTTTTTGTTAGTTAAACAAAAAAAAGTACTCACAAGTCCCAATGGGGTTTACATATAAGCATTGGATCATAACTCTGCATCAGTCCCACTAAACTCAATTAGTCTTTTCAGAGTATTACTTTAATATTGCAATTCCTGAATTCAAAAAAAATTACTGTCCGACATATCAGTAATAGGCCCCTTCGTATGGTCACGCATAGAAAGGTTCACCAAAACAGTGACCATCTCAGAACTTTCGTACCCTGAGATGACTAACATAGGACAGGTTCCATCATGATTTTAACTATCCTCACTCTTTTATACCTGCATTTCATGGTTTACACAGGATAACTTTTTGCTATATGAATTTTACTGTTGGGGTGGGGAGGGGAAGCAAGGAGGGGGGGACAGAGTAGTGGGGTACAGAAATTAAAAAAATGTACAGGGAGAAGAAGCTAGAGCAGAACTAGCACTCATTAGAGATCCACTGTAATAGATGGCAAGAAATATATGACCAAAATACACACTCAAACAAAAAGACAAAGTAAGCACATAAACATGAATGAGGTCAAAGTCTTATCCTAGTGAAGGTAATGATTTCTCCCAGATTTAAATTTGAAAATTGCACAATACGAACATCGCTTCTGCATTTTATCTTGTAGATTGCTTCCCTGAATGATGAAACAAAGCTATTCTTGATTCTAATCTGCATAGAAGTCCAAAAAATGGCAAACATGAAAGACCAACCTGTGCGTGGTGTAAATCTGGCTCAATGTGTCTCCTAAACAATGGAAAGATGCTGTCAATGAGAGAATCCAGTGAACGAGAGTCTCCAATATCATATTGGACCTTTGAAAGGAGGCTAAAATGGAGACCACCAACCTGATCCAGAGAAGAGACGAATCTGATCATACAATTATCTTTACGAACGAATCAAATGAGTCGTGCAATTTTTGAAAAAGAAATTACAACAGCAACCCAAATATCTAGCAAAGACCGCAACCTCGCATGTAGAGCATAAGTACCATCGACAATCACCTAAAACAATTAATTGAAGAACAAATGAACCCACTGCAACAGTGCCAAGCAACATGTCAACCCCCGAGTTATAGAAGCATACCACACCAGAGGAAGCACTCTTAATTGTCTTTGAACCGACACATCTTTTGTGCTGAAAATCGAACACAGGTACCAAAGTATCTTTTCCATTTGTCAGATCCTATTAAAAAAGTCTAAATCATTAGACACAGCAAGCAGAAATGGTAAAATAATGTATAAGACATTCACACGACTCAGTCAACAACCAATATCCATAGGGAGAATAGAAATGAATCACCACTAGAACAATCGAGGAGATCACAAGAACAGCTCACAATCACAACTTTGAGAACACGTACTCCCAGTTTCACATTATGAATTTAACTCTTCATGGTAAAGTCAAAACCTCATAAAAAGAGAAAAAGGGGAAACAACTTAAGATTGGCAACCTGGATTTAGAGTCCCAATCTCCTCGGCTGCCCCCCTCGAAACCCTCGAGCTCAGCCCGCACTCCACCGAGGACGCGTCGATCGACGACGGATCGCCGGGCTCGTCGCAGTCCGATCGCGTCCGGCGGTTCTCGCCGTTCTCTCCATCGCCGGAGCTAGCCATGGCGAATCTCGATCGCACCTCGCCGAATTCAGGCGAACCGCTGGAAGAAACTCGAGATAACGAACCGGAAAACCACTGATTCCGAGCTCCGAGGGGGCGGAAACCACCGGCGAGAGGCGAGAACAATGCGAGAAGGGGGAGGGGAATATTGTTGCCGTCCATCGTCGGAAGCGCCGCCGAATCGATCGGGTTTGGAGCCGGGAAAACCCTAGACGTGTGTGGCCATCGCCGGAGACCGCAAGAAGCAGCGCCGGATTCGGGATCGGACCTGCGAATTTGCGACGATGAGGCGTCGAATTCGCCGGAGACGCGAGCAAATTAGAGGTTGGATTTTGGGGGTGAATTGAGAGGTTTGGGGGTGGGGAGAGGGAGAGAGAACAGAGAGAGAGAATCGGGGTGATTGAGAGGTTTGGGGGTGGGGAGCGGGAGCGGGAGCGGGAGAGAGAATAGAGAGAGAGAGAGAAAAAATCGGGGTGAGGGGGTATACAAATTTTTTCAAATTCGTGGCTCATTAGCCTATTTTTTAAATTAGCCACTAATTTGAAAAAAATTACCCACACATGCCTAAATTATTATTATTATTATTATGGCAAATTTGCCACGGATTTAGCCACGAATTTCATTTTTACTAGCCTTTAACGAAATTCGTAGCTAAATCCTTGACAAATTTACCACGGATTTAGCCACAAATTTGAAAAAAAAAATGAATTAGGCGTGTGTGGGTATTTTTTATGAAATTCGTGGTTAAATCCGTGGCAAATTTGCCATGGATTTAGCCACGATTTCATAAAAAATGAATTAGTCGTGTGTGGGCATTTTTTTCAAATTCGTGGCAAAATTCGTGGCAAATTTGCCACGGATTTTGCCACGAATTTCATTTCCACCAGCCTATAATGAAATTCGTGGCAAATTTGCCACGAATTTCATTTCTACTAGCCCACACACGCCTAATTCATTTTTTTTTCCCGACAATAACGTTTTAGTAACAATAATAGCAATAATAATAATAATCAACAACAACAACAACAACAATAATAATAATAACAACAACAACAACAACAATACTAATAATTACAACAACAACAATAAACTCTTGTCATAATAATAATAATAATTACGACATAATTAGTAAAAAGTCTTAAAAATCTAAATCTTCATCTTCACCTTCATCTTCACCTTCGTCTTCATCTTGATCTTCATCTTCTTGTTGAGCATCATCCTCATCATCGTCGTCGTCATCATCATTATCCTCTGTCTCAAAATCAGATTTTGCAACACCTTCTAAATTTGATTCGCGAATTTCAGTTAGATCTACATCTATCAACATAGGACATGGATCTCGTAGAGTTTGAGTGTTATATTCCTCAGTTTGAACCAATCAGCTTTGTCACCTTTCAAATTAGGATATGATGCATAATATGCTTGAATTGCTTGTTGTGCCAACACAAATGGTTCATATTTCATATACCTTTTCTTGTAATTTATTTCAACCAAATTAAACTTCGTATGCACCTTCATTCCTTTGACGGGATCGAACCACATGCACTTAAATAACACAACCATCATTAATGGTCCGGGGTACTCTATCTCCATGATTTCATCCAACAAGCCATAAAAATCATCTTTTGAACTGTCACCATTGGATGACCGAATACACACACCACTATTCATTGTGGCTTTTCTCATTGCATATTCTTGAGTGTGAAAATTATACCCGTTTATGAAATATGCTGGCCAAATTCGTACTCTTGACTTTAGACACCATGACAGATAATATAGCAATCCTTGCTCTTCAACTTGATCATGATTACTGTAAACCTAAGGTTACACACGCAAAGTCAATAATATATATTTAAATGATGTATAAAATATTAATAACTTGGTTTTGGTCCATAGGCAACTTACATATGTTTTGAAACATGCTGCAAATTGTTCATCGCACAAACGGTCAAACTCATTTGGTGGTAGTCCATATATTGAAGTTTGAAAAATCCTATTAACAATTTATATTTATATATTAGTAAATATTTGACACGCAATACATATATTAGCGACGAATTTATTTTTCGTTGCAAATTACGTCGCAAATTTAGCGACGAAAAAAAATAAGTCGCTAACTCCGTCGCAAATTCCGTTGCAACTTAACGACGGATTTTTTTCGTGGCAAATTCCGTCGCAAATTAGCGACGAATTTTTTTTCGTGGCAAATTCCGTCGCAAATTAGCAACGGAAAAAAAATTCGTCGCTAATTTCGTCGCAAATTTGCGACGAATTTTTTTTCGTGGCAAATTCCGTCGCAAATTAGCCACAACATTTTTTTTCGTCGCTAATTCCGTCGCAAATTAGCCACGAATTTTTTTTCTTGGCAAATTCCGTCGCAAATTAGCCATGGATTTTTTTCCATTGCAAAATTCGTCGCAAATTCCGTCGCTAATTAGCGATGAAAAATTATTCGTCGCTAATTTCCGTGGCTAAATCCTTGTTTTTTTTTGTAGTGGAGAGAGAGAGACCATGGCAAATGAAAACCAATGCTCTCCGAAAGGACGAGCATGGCAACCATCTATAGGTGAAGGGTTGGCGTTCTCTATGGACACTCCTACACACACACCCCCGCATTTCATCAGACACCAACATAAGCACGACTTGCATCAGCTTAAGAAAGTAGCCCCCAAAAATGTTAATATTGCAACACACTACGACGTGGTTAGAACCAAATGTAGTTAACTTACTACTGCTTTTGGTTTGATCACCAGACAAACAAACAAAAAATCTCGGTGGCATGGATGAATACATGCTTGGGTCACTTCCTGCTATTAAGTGTCTCGGTGCAGAGATGCGCTCAAGTTCTTTTAAGTTACATTTAGGGAGATCCTTTCATGCATTCAGCTTGCTTAAACATGGTGGTCTAACTTCTCCTTACACTATATATGTGTGTGCGTGCGTGCGTGCACAATTTCTTATCCACATCAATGCAATGAGGATGCAAGCAAACTACTCACTTGGCAGAAGATCATTAATGACCATAGCCAGAGCAACACAACCAATTAGAACCTGTAAAAGTAACAAAAGCAATCTAAAACAAATCACAACCGACAAAAAGAATACCTCAAAAAGAATGGAACACAATTATACAGGAGACTCTTGCAACAATACCTTGTCAGCAAGGGGGTCAAGATAGGAGCCCACAACTGAATTTATATTCATCTTCCTAGCCACGTACCCGTCTAGCTGAAATGCCCAAATAAGGAAACAAAACGAGGGGAAGAAAAATAAAGGGGGATTAATAAAGCACCATTTTATTCTTTTATAAATGTGCTTCAGAAGAGAGCGAAGATCAGCAACTAACCCAATCAGTTGCTCCAGAGATAGCCAACCCCACAAATGCGGTAGTATGCATTCATTCACGATCGTCCTGCATAAGGGGTTTTTCCATGGAACACCAAAAGTGAGAGAATTAAACACATTTGAAACAGCGCATTGAGGAAGTAACAAGAACGGTAAACCACGCATAACTTTGCCAGAAATGATATTTTAGACCCTCCTTTCAAACCTTGACATTCTTCACTAAGAACTTTCGTGAAGAACTTTCGTCAATCCAACTACCTAAGGACAATTACTCACATTGGTTATGTCCAAAAGTGTTTCGAAGTACTCACTTGAGACTGCACAATTTGGGTGCAGCGCTCTAGCCATTTTATCAAACTTTTAAGACATCTTGTGTAAAGAACTTAGTAATGAAATGGCTCTGCAAAATAGGTTTTGCTCTGATGCAAAGTAGCACTTGGCTAGTGCTGAAGGACAGCATGAACTCTAATTTCCAAGTTAAGTGAACTCATTTCACTTTTATTTTTCGATGGAGGTCGGGTTATATGTCTCCCTGCTAAGCAAAGTACAATAGACTCCAAAACAATTCGAACAAATCCTAAAAATCAAAGCTTTTCTCATAATAGATCAATTCAAACATTTAAACAAAACTCACCATCCCAGCAAAGGACCCGAAATGAGGCAGCTCGTGGAAATCAAATTGGGCAAATTCACAAACCCATCCACGAAACCCTCACTCGACCTCTCCTCCGACAAGCCCCGATCCACCAACTTCGGCTGCAAAGCCACCAGCCACGGCTTCGAGCCTTCACCCCCGCCGGCCGAAGCAAATCGAACTTCAAATTCAAGGCCTCAACTTTCCGCAGGACGACGGCGCACTGGCGGCGGCAAGGACAGGAACATCGAGCCCTGGTGGGGGTCGTGCGATCGTCCATTTCGAGAGAGGAGAGAGGAACCTGTTGGGGAAGCTGGAATGGAGGAAGGGGTTGATGAAGTGCAGCGTGAATGGAGGAGGAGGCCTAGAGAGGCGACGCCGCGGAGGAGGAGGAGCATCTTACGAGGAGTGGTGGTCAGCCTGATTGATGTGGAGGGGGTGAGCTTCGGGGGGGGGGGGGGGGGGTGGCAATGGGCTTGGAGAGATTGTGGGTGTCGCAACCTCTCCGAATCGACTTCACTGCTTAGGGAGTTTGGCTAATGGATTACTAAGTTAAACCTAACTCGAACTCTCCCAAGCCCATACCAACTCACGACTTAAAATTTAAGTTATTAACATGTAAATCAATTTCATCTAGGAGTCGCCACTAATAAGTTTTTAGTGGATCTATTATAATTCACTTCTACAAACCAGAGACTCAATGGGTGTATGAACTTGATTACACTAATAGACCAACTAGTGCCCCTTTGGTACCTAACCTTGTTTAATTACCGCCTAACGTGTTCTCACTAATTGAAAGTCTCAAATTCCATTATTAACCAAGCTAGGAGAAGTAACAATCAAAACATTAACCTAATATGCATAATCAACCACGTGCAAAGTTAAACTAAATGCGCAATTCAAAGTGTGTGAATCAAGCAAGTTACAATCAAACATGAAGCTAATCACACAAAAAAGGCAAGAAAGGCCCATTAATTTTGAGTGGCGAGAAGAAAAAAAGAAGCAAAAAGACAGTGGAGACAAAAAACCTGCAAATGCGAACCATAGAGTTGAAATATACATAGAGAAACCTGCAGCTAGCAAGACACATTTAGATCGGCATCAACTTATGTGCTATCTCTTACCTATAAATCTCCAATGGCCACTGGATAGCTTCATTCTATGTGAAATTCCTAATACATCTAATTCACCCAAAAACATTATCAATATAAGCAAACGAACTGTAATTTGAATGAAAAAATCCTTAATCAAACGTTTACGATTGCTTTCTTTTATCCGTTAGCAACCACAACACGGTAACAAATTTAGCATTGCAATCTAAAAGAGTGAAAATCTCACTTTATTGGGTAATGTCCGTTTATTCCAAGCACTTAATAAACAACTTAACCACCAAAGCTTATCGATAGAAAAATCAAATCTCATAAGTTAGAGACACTCTTAAGAAATCCTCATGATCCATATGATATTTAGAATATCGAAACTTCAAGTATTGTTCATATAACATAAGTAATTGTTTATTTCCCTTCAATAGAATTTGGCGGTAGGACTCCTTGGGCGGTACATAGCATTGAGCTATTTCGTTGATCACAGTGTCCATGGAAATGGACAGCAAGAGGTTTCCCAAAGTATACAAGTTGCAGAACACACGATCAGATTCTGGAGATGCACGCTTCCCTATGCTTCGTTTGCTTCTGAAGAGAGAGATGACCCAGATCAACATCTGGATGTCGGACGGATTGTCAAGGCAGGCGAGAAGCAGACGGGTTATTTGCACGTTTGACAGTGTTGCGTTATCGGGGTTGAAGACGAGCAGAGACTATCATTTTTTAGCGTGATGGAGATTTACTCGCTATAGCGATATGAGACGTACAAATCAATCAATCAAACGTATGTCGTCTTATCCTTTCACCATCAGGACCCACATCCCTAGACCAAAAGTAAAAGCAATCCCATGCCACGTTGATTCTCTTCAGTTCCTCCCGGATAAAAATCACATCGGTCGCGTGTCGTGCCAACCAAAGTCCACCCTTAATCCAACGGTGGAACTCCAAAATCGACGTTAGCTTGCTCCCATGCCCACCGAATGTATCGTGCACCTTCAGCTACCTGATGAAAAACTCCCTGCGCAAACCCCCGTTATTATTCCTTGTTAAACATATGACATTCTCCAATACATCTCCCCTTGTTTGTTTATTGAGATAAGTGCATCGAAAGCCCTAAATTCGTCACAAAAGTATAATTAACTCCTAAAACTTATATGAGTGCAATTAATTCTTGAAACTTGCCAAATTTGTGCATCCATTTAAGCTAACGGATAATGTTCACACCCAAAACTCATGAACCCTTAACCCCGAACCCTAAAACACTCAACCCCGAACCCCAAACCCAAAAAACCTCAACCCAAAAAACCCAAAAACCCCAAACTTGTAAACCCTAAACCCCATACCCCAAATCCCTAAACCATCAACCTTAAACCTTAAGCCATCGACCCTAAACCCTCAACCTTAAACCTTAAGCCATCGACCCTAAACCCTAGACCTTAAACCCTCAACCGACCAAAACCCTAAGCCCTAAGTCCGAAGCCATAAACCCCTAAACCCTCAACCTTAAAAGCCTAAAATCTAAGCCCAAAGTTCGAAGCCTTAAGTCCTAAGCCCTAAACCCCTAAACCCTCAACCATCAATCCTAAAACCTGAATCCCGAACCCTATACCTCGAACCCTCAACTCTCAATCCTCAACACCGAACCCTTAACCCTAAATCCTAAACTCCAAACCCTGAACCCCATAACGCTCAACCCCGAAACCCCTGAATCCTTAACCCCGAACCCTCAATCCCGAACACAGAACCCCAAACCCAAAAACCCCACACCCAAAAAAGCCCAAAAACCCAAAATCTGCAAACACAAAACCCCATACCCCAAACCCCTAAACATTAAACCCTGAACTCTAAGCCCTCAACCCTAAACCATAAACTCTCAACCCAAAACCCTCAACCCTAAAATCCTAAGACGTAAGTCCGAAGCCCTAAACCCTAAACCCTCAACCTATACCTCGAACCCTCAATCGTCAATCCCAAACCCTCAATCGCAAACCCCAAAACCCTAAACCCTAAACCCCGAACCGTGAAACCCCGAACCCCATAACGCTCAATCTTGAAATCCCTCAACCCTCAACCCCGAACCCTAAAACCCTCAAGCTCGGACCCTAAATCCCAAACCCAAAAACCCCAAACCTGTAAACCCTAAACCCCAAACCCCTAAACCCTCAACCTTAAACCTTAAGCCCTCAACCCTAAATCTTAGACCTTGAATCCTCAACCACCCAAAACCCTCAACCCTAAACCCTAAGTACGAAGCCATAAACCCCTAAACATTCAACCTTAAACCCAAAACCCTCAACCCAAAACCCTAAGCCCTAAGTCTGAAGCCCTAAGTCTTAAGCCCTAAACCCTTAAACCCTCAACCCTTAATCCTAAACCCTATATCCCGAACCATCAACCCTCAATACTCAATACTAAACCCCTAAACCCTTAACCCCATGCAAAAGCTGAAGAAGAAGGAGGAGGAGGAGGAGGGCGGCTATTTGCAAGTGTCTGCCCTGCCATCTTCTTCCCTTCTTCTTCTTTGGGTTCGAACACAGAGAGAAGATATTGACGGACACTTCTCTCTCTCCGTCGCTCACCCTCCTCTCTCTCTCTTCATCGCTCGTATTCCCAGCCTTTCTCTCCTCCGCTCGCATACCCAGCCTCTTCGGCGACACAAGCCTCCGTCACCCCGTCCCCCATGGACCCATCCACGTCGCCATTGCCGTCGATGTCGCCTTCAACGATGGCGATGCTGCAAGTCGCCCCGCCCGCTAGGGGTTTCGCCTCTGTGAGTCCTTCACTCCTCTCGCCATTTTCGTGCATATTTGCATGACTAGTTTGTAATTTGAATGTGTCCGATTTTGTTAAGAAGAGACTGAGAAGCAATTGTTCTTCTGTGAAATAGCAGGTGAGATTCAGCCAAGCATGGCAAAGAGTTCCAGAGATGAAAGATCAGGCCGGAAGCTAAAAACCAAAGTATTCTTCTTGGACGGAACTTCTAAAGAGATCAAATATAATATGGCAACGATAGTGGCTGATGCTGTAGAGGTACTTTCAAACCTTATGAATTTCTAAACAAATTGAATGTCGTATACAAACATAAAGAGATAATTTGATGACCGGAGGAAACTTGTTATTAGTATTCTTATGTATGAAATTCAAGCATGGTTGTTATTAGCATTTCCCTGGCGTCTATAAGTTATTCACAGAAAGAAATGGCCGGATAATTACCAGCTATTACGCAGGATAAGATCCTCTTTTGAGGAGTCTCAAATAACATTTTTCAAAAGTTAGATACTAGGTAGCACTGGATCGCTCATTCGTCAAAGTAAACAACCATCAATTTTGGGAGTGCTGAATGGTTCTGGTGATAATCGCATGGTTAATTTGGATGTCAACAGAAAAATAAGATGCCACAGAAATCAACATCCAAAAATTTTTTTGCAGCACCAAAATGTCAGAATTCAGCTGATTGGTCTATTTTTCTGCAAATAGCTCAAAAGATTATTGT